CGGTGGCGGTTTTTATTTTGATGTACGAGTGAAGTCAATCCAATGAGTTAGTCTTAACATTTTTACCGCTACAAATATCCTAAAGGAGATTCTTGAATTTGGAATATGAAAATTTAGAAAGACAATTTGTCGGATGAGGCTAGGCATGAGTTAATTGAGCTGCAGAATTTTCTATCGAATGTTACGTTGTAGTAAGAGGTTAATGACATATTCATTTGGAAGTTGAGCAAGGATGGCTGTTATTTTGTGCGGCCTGGGTCTGGATGTTGTTATATTTCTGAATCAGAATTGGTTATGGTATTGGTTGTGGTCGACAAGTTTACCGTCTAGAATCCTAGTATTCGAATGGCGTTTCATTCTTTATAAATTGTCAACGAATGATCAATTGTCTTTGAGAGGTATTATTCAAGATGATCGTACCAGAAATTACATTTTATGTTTTTTGAATGATAAAGATCTCAATCATTTATTCTTCGAGTGTCTGTTGTCCATCAAAATTTGAAATAACATTAATTATGAGATAGATTGATAGAGATGCCGATCATCAAATAGAGGCAGGCCCGACCCAAGGGTAAGGCAAGTAAGACCTTTACCTTGGATCTCACTTTTTTAGGATACATTTAGGCCTCCAAATAAATCCGTTAACAAATACATATTAACAAAAGCGTTAATTTGCCAAGTTGTGTAGTAGCCCAGTGGTCAAGTAACTACATATTTACCTTGAGGCTAGCATACTAGTGCAAGTTTATAGTTCAATAGTGCAACTTTTTTACACTTATTTTCAACTTTTCTTTACTTTTTTTTTTTGGTTATAACTTTTCTTTACTTTAGTGCAAGTTTATAGTTCAACAGTGCAAGTTTTTTACACTTATTTTTAACTTTTCTTTACTTTAATCAATTTTTATAATGATTAATAAAAATTATTAGAATGAATATAAATCAACACTTATTAATCTAACAATACATTTATGATACAATTATTTATTTTAAAATTTTATAAATATACTTTAATAAGTAAAATTTTTGTTAAATAGATAAAGTTATGTTTTACTTTTTATTTTTAAAAATTATGTGTATTTTTTATTTTAATTACTTATCTATTTCATTTGGTTATAAAAAAATTAATGAAGATTTACTATTGTTTCTACACAAATAAAGATAAATATTTTTAATAAATAATTTTAGTTTTAATTTCTAAAATAATACTCACTTTTTAATATAATTTTTAAATTATATAAATATAATAAATAACTATTTTTATGCGATTAAAATTAGTAAATATAATTCATGCTATTAAAATAATAAAAAGTTACATGATAATTTTTAAGTATTAATTAAATATTATATTTAATTTTATATTATTTAAATCAAAACTATTGACGGTTCTTTATTTAAAATAAAAATTAATATAGATTTTATAGATATGTAATTTTATTTTTAAAATGTTTAATTCTAAATTTTCCTTTAGACTCTCAAATTTTTTGGACCATCCATTATGAATTTTTTTTTTGGAATAATCAAGTATTAAAATTTTTTTTCGTAAATAATCATGTTTCGGAAAAAATTACGCAAATAACCATGTTTCAGATGACTCTCCAAAGGAGGAGCCATCTCACTTGGCGCCTCCACTAAGCATTTAGCCTTAGGCGCCATCCCACTTGGCGCCTCCTCTCTCTTTTAGCCAAGTGAGATGGCGCCTACACTTTAAAAGTGAGAGGAGGCGCCATCTCACTTGGCTCATAGGGCAAAATGTTGTTTTTATAAATAATTCGTCTGTTTCTCCGTCATTTCTCACACTTTCTCGCACTGTTTTATTATTTTTTACTCTGCGATTTGCGTCATGACATCGCCCATGATTTTTATCAGATATGGTTACGTTATCTTCTCCGCCACAAAACCTCCGATAAAAATGAAATTCTGGCACATTCACTCCATGGAGCGTCTGAAGTGGGAGTTGATGTGATGGATATATGGAGACATCGTGGAGGGGGAAAATTAGAAGGATTCAGCGAAGACGAACAACAACCTCACATGCGACAAGAAGACCTAATGTTTGGTTGGAGGAAGTCAAAACAGACGGCGACGTAATGTTGATGATGCATGGGTCAGATGATATTGTTTTAACAGTTGTAATTTCGTAGACGGAATATCGTGTTTTTTTTCTTGTTTGCGCAATGTTTATTGTAACAAATACTGTTAACGAAAAACCCTAATGTTTACAACATAATAAATGAAAGATTTAATGTAATACAATTTTTATGTGGTTAAGGCAGTAGCCCGATTCGGACAATTTTTGCGATTGTGTCCGACCTGACGACATAAACCACACTTTCTTTTCAGCTTGTCAAGGGAGTTCATTTCAGTTGTGATACGCTTACTTTTGGGACAAACCTTTTTATTCCTTCGCATTTGGTCATTGCACCATACTATTTCACCGTCGTATGCAGGCCAATAATCCGGTTTTGCTACCAAAGGGAAGCTGTTGTTGTAAACGTTGAGCAACATTTCATATTTGTAAATGTGTGACAGAAGTTGTAGCGCGTCTTGATGAGTATAGGCACATGCGGCAATGACATGAGAGCAAGGCATACAAAAGGCTTGAAACTTGGAACAATCGCACCAACGAGAAGGTAGTACAACCCTATATTCTTGTCTTGGCAGGCCCTCGTTGTGGTCGATTGTCTCTTTCACAATGAAGTCGTGGCTGTGTCGGTCAAACCGTATAACCATATGGGTGTTGGCTTTGGCACTTTCTGCAAATATATGATAAAAATAAAATATTTTTCATTTCCTTTAGGTATTGCGTGAGGGGTATGGATTACGGCAAGAATCCTAGATTCAATGTCGCACTATACCGCAATCTATTGGATCACCTTGGCCCGGATGATGTACGTCGTACCTTTCAACTTTTCTACTTTTAAATTATTTATATATTACGTTTTCATTAACCTGATTTAATTTTATCTGCAGTTTGTCTGGAGACCATATTTGGGTATGGGCCATGAACCAAACCTCGAGGATGCAGTAATTTGGAGCGCAAAGACTGCAATCATACGGTTCAACGTTGTGGAGATTTACCACAGCGACCGTGTGAAGATGCAGTTTGGAATGCATCAAGAGATAACCAGCAATCCTACTTGTTTGTCCCAATGGCATCTCAAAACGGTCAACGCCCAATGGGGTCTTACCAACTGGAAAGACTTTGCTCCAGAATGGTGTAAGATATGGCAGAGGCGTCACCGACATGTCTTGCAATTCCCGATTTTCCTCAACCATGGTAATATGCGACACATAGATCAGTATTTATCTTGGTATAGATCGGTTAGTACCCCTGAAATGCACGTGTCTCATCCAAGGTATTTTATTGACCCACGAACACAATGGACACAACCCTCATTTCCCCAACAACAAACCCAAAACACATCAACCTCCCACCAACCCCCAGACGAAACAGAACCACAAACACCCAACCACAGTCACCACCACAATACAATTACACTCACATGCACCACAACCAACCACAATCACCACCTCAGTACCAATACCCCAAAATGCCTCACACTCAACCGCAATTTCAATCACAATACCAACACACCTGCATACCCTACACACAATTTCAGTCTTCTGCATATCCCAATATGGGCCCCTCAACATCCAACCTTAGCCCTGATCTGGGAATGTCAGAAGATTATGAACCAACCGACCCAACTTATCGTCAACCACAATATCACGAAACCACCCAACATTCTCAATACCAAACACCCCAAGATCCATTTTCTTTTTACCCCGTACTCAGACGGTCAATGCTACAGACCAACCATAGAACCCCACCCACCGACAACACGATCAAACTTTGAGGGTATGGATAACCGACTGTACCAAAGCGGATCTTCTAGATATGGAGATATGACTGATTTCATGGATCCGGAACGCATTGACTTCGCTGGGCCATCAACTCTGCCACAGCAGGAAACGCGACGAAACCCAGCACGGAGAAGGCGAGGATGGGGATACGGAACCAGAAGTCATTACTGGATTCCGGGGGACCACTGATTAATCTGTTTTTTTTTTTACGTAATACTTATGTGTGTAATCATATTTTGTAAATAAAAAGTCAATTTTATTATATATTAACTTGAATTAATTTTTATATTTTGAATTGAGTACCTCTAATATTCATTTAATCCAATTACTTTTAAAGAAAACAGACGAAAGGAGCATCCGAAAAAGGCAAAATCAAACATATTAATCTAAGAAAACAAGAGATTTTAACACAACCAACAAGAACTAGAGCGAAAAGGTTCACTAAAAAAAAAAAACTAAAAATATCAATCTTATGGACAAATAGAGTCGGTTAATGAGAATGATGCATTGCAAAATAACTCTCCCATAAGTCAAAATATGAGTCGGTTAATGAGAATTAAGGTATCATAATTCATAGAATCTATTCTGCTTCCATTGAACTTATAACTTTGATGTTAAATTTCTAAGGTTTCAATCATGTTATATTAACTTGCATTTATATCCAATTTTGAACTATATCAGATATAGTAATGTTGCTATTCTAACAAGATCAGAATTGGAAGATAGAAAATGAAAAGAAAACTATCTTAAGAATAGAGTTCCATAATTTCCATCTCTATCAAATCAAGTATATTAAAAAAAGATTCAGAACAAAATGTACCAGTACCAACCAAATTTATTTATTTATATACGAACAGATGTAATATCATATATCTCTGAAAACCAACTAAGAATCTACAAATTATTAAAGAAAATAGTTGCTAACACTGAGAGTCACATCACAATTGACAACCAAGTGAACAAGTCTTCGTGTGAGTACTCCCTCTAGTTACTGCCTCAATGCAGCTTGTTATTCGTGCGAGTCTTTGTGTGAGTCCTTTTAGGAAGAAAGATGAGTGCGGACAAAAATATACCACCACTGCGATCAAACAATTAAATCATCACCACTTAGAGTCTCAAAAAACAAATCAAGAACCCTAATGAACAAGAACACCTACCACGGCACCCAAAATAACGTGGCCTACCACGGACATCAAGTAGATCCTCCTCCTCAGTCGTCGTCGTGGTTCATTGTTAGGTGGATGTCGTGGTGGTGGTTGCTGCTGAGGCGGCGGTGGTGGTGGAAGGTTTTCTATGTTTGGGGGTTCATGACGATGTTGAGCCCGTGGTGGCGGTGGTGGTGGCCGTGGAATGTTGGGTGGTGGTGAAAGTGGAGTATTGGGTTTTCTTGAGGTCATGGTGATTGATTATTAGTTAATAGAAGTGAATGCTTCTTTGGAGTCATGGAGATATATTAATATATATGTCTGAGTTGAGGGATTTAAAAATAACTAACTCACTAACGGTTTTCTAGTTAGTTGGTTTAGTTAGTTAGTTACCAAACTGTTTAAAAGTTCGTTAGTTAGATCCCTATACCACACAAAGGAATCTTCCTCAAGCTTATTCAAAGACAACCCTATAGGACTGATTCCAACTTCTCCAATTGAGACCGAGCTGTTGCTCAAAACACTTGCAAAAAAATCTAGGTTCCAGGTCCAAATAGAACCAGACCATTCTCCCAAATCATCTATCTTGACATCCTTCCTTTCTGCCCTACTAAAAAGATCAGGGTACTGGCTACTTAGGGTCTCCACCCCAAGCCATCTAGACCTCTAAAACCCTAAAGAGCCACCATTTCCCACTCTACCTCTAAAACAACTAGAAGACAAATTTAGGTCATTTCCTTGAGCAAGGCAAAGCAATTTAATATCCCTCTATTAAATAGAGTCTTTCTTTCCAATCACTCTAGAACCATCTTCACTAAATTAAGCTTTTACACCTAAACCACTAGATGACTTGTCGAGACACACCTTGTTCCAACTAAACAAATTAATCTGCATCCTCCCCTTCTCTCCATCCCACAAAAAAATGAATTTGCAACTTGGTAATATATAAGATCACAAGCCTATGAGCCTTAAAGAAAGAAAGAAAAAGTGGATTGGAAAGCTATTAAAAAAAGAGTTTAATAAAACAACCCTGTCACCAAGGGATAATTTCCTTCCCTCCACTCAACAAGCTTGTGGTGAAACTTATCCAAAATGTAATTCCAAGTGGATTTTCTCCTTGGATTCGCACCTAAGGGAATACCCAAGAACATAGTAGGAAATTTATCAATTATTCTTCCTTTTAATTGGATACATTAGATAAGTTAACATGTGCAATACAAGATATATTTTGGTTAAAATGCAACATGTAGGCAATATGTTCTAGTATGTGTGCATCATCTGGCTTCAGTCAGCAGGTTAAGGATTATGAGTTATTCGGAGTGAGATTCCGTTTGATTTCTTGACGATTGTTATTTCTTTTAGCAATATGTCATATTTAGTAAGATTTGTTAGAAATATTTAATAATATCGAATCCATTTATATGAAGATTTAAATTAGATGAAGATCAAATCAAATGAAATCTCTTTGTGGTTGTTTTTGAAAAACAATTCAAATCTACATCTAAATCAAATATAATTTTTCTCAAATCTAATTCCCTTTGGATAAAAGCCCAGAAGATGGTTTTCAACTTAAGGAGACTCTTTCCAACCTTTGAAGACACAAGTTAGAGTTAAAGATTATAAGTGTTAAGGTTTTGTTCTTTGAGTATTTGTAATTTGTTGTTTTTGTGTACACCTTTATAAGAAGCCTAATCTAAATATTCAAGTCATAGAGGTCAGTTCTTAGTTGAGTTGTAACTCAACATCTTTAATCTATTGAGAGCATAAGATTACTAGGGTAATGGTTGAGATAAAGTCAGAGTAATTCTCATATTTAGGGAGGGATCTAAATAGAAAGACACAATTAGTATTAAAAAGTAGGAATTGAACAAGGGTTGTTCATCTAAGACTAATGGTACTGTTCTGGACTGGGCCCGGGTTGGCCCAAAAGCAAGAATGAAAGCCCAATCCAAACGGCTTAACAGGGGAGCGCACCGATCAAGAAGCTACAACTGTGCCCGCTACTGCCCGCGAACGCAACGTCCTCGACCTCATACAGTCCAACTCGAGTCTTGCTCGAGCACCCCACGTAGGGAAGACCATGACCGTTACACCGTCACCTGGACTCCGAAAAGACCGCGTCCTCGTCCGTCCGTACTTCTCGCAGAGCACCCAGGAAGGAGACCACGTGCAAGTCCCCACTACACACGTAGAACCTGGCAGTTCCTTTATTGGGCCAATCCTGGTCGGCCCAATAAAGGGACCTTGGCCCAGCGCTGGGGGCTATAAATACCCTCTGTCCCAAAAGGGCCAGGTATTCACTCTCTTACCGTACACACACTTTTTTCCTGCTCGTACTACCACTTACTTTAGCATCGGAGTGCCTTGCAGGTACCCCCCCATCTCGTTCAACTTCAGCTCGGAGCCAGTCGTGACGGTCCAGTCTGATTAGGTAAGATCAGTGGCGCCATCTGTGAGAAACTAGCTTCCCCGTCTTGCAAAAACTCAAAGACCAAAGCTCAACTCAACTATCACCGTCATGGATGACCAAGCTCGTGATGAACAAAACGTCCGCGTCATCGACACCAACAACGGCCTCGCGGATAAAAACGGACACCTTGATAACGCCGGTAACCCCGGTCATAACACCATCCCTGTGTCAACTGCCCCCGGGCCCTCAATCCACCGCGACGGAGTTACCGCTTCATCCTCCTCGGTCCCTCCGCCACTCGAAGAAGACGATGCAACTCTCACAAACTATCGAGCTGCTCAGTTTCAGGAAGTCCCTGTCTCCGCCGGGGCGGATGCCACAACCCGAGCGCTGTTCGCAGCGATCAATCAGATGAATTACCTCATCTTCGCCCAAGGAGAAAGATTGAGGGCACTTGAAGACGATCGAAGACCCCCGAGGAGGCATCAGAGGCCCCAGACTCCACCTCCTCGAGTAACTGAGGTCCATTTCCCGTCTCCCCCGCGGAGACACAACAAAGATACCTCTCGAAGCCCGTCACCCCGACCATCGGTGAAACGGCCCCCTTTTGAGAGGCAACCCATCATCGAAGCCGGGGGACACGGCCGCGCCCCCGCAAGACAAGAAAGAAGACAATCCGGAGACGGACACAGAAGAATCAACCAACGGGCGCCGCGCTCGAGAGATGTCCCGCACGACCAAGACCGTCGTGCCCGACACTATTACAAATCTCCATCCCTTTTCCCGGAGAGAAGTGACGAGGACGACCCCCGCGGTCCCCTGTCGCAGGCCATTATGGAGGCGCCCATTCCCCCGGGCATGGAGAAGCCTCCACATCTGAAGGAATACTACGGAGTCGCGGACCCAGTCAACCACATCGACGGGTTCGAGGATATGCTGCACTATCACAATGTCAAGGGACCCATCAAATGCCGGCTGTTCCCCACGACCCTCAAAAAGGCAGCAATGGACTGGTATAAAGGCCTCGCCCCGGGATCAATCACCTCGTGGCGAAACCTGAAGAACCAATTCATCAGTTCCTTCACAGCGTCTCATCGACACCCAAAGACCGAGGCGGCTCTCGAGGCAATCATCCAGAGACAGGATGAAACCTTAAGAGAATTTATCAATCGCTTCAACCGTGAAGCTATACAGGTCCCCTGTGCGGACCACATGAAAAGATATCTGCTGGAGAGGGGGCTCCTCCCCGGCATGGAATTCAAAAAGGCCGTGGGCATCGAGCCACCTAGAACATTCGATGCCCTCATCGAGAAGGCCCGGGCGTACATGGATTACGAGGAAAGAGAGGCGGACAACAGAGCCCGAGACCCCAAGACTCGCGGGTCCAGCAGCAACCCGCGTCAGGAAGATGCTCCTCCTCGACGAACCGTGGAGAAAAGAAAAGAAGACAGGCCCCGAGAAGTCCGAGATCAAAGGGGACCCTCGGGGCATTTTACCGAATACACTCCGCTCATAGCTTCCCGCGAGCGCATTTTGGCGGAGTGTGCCAGCACGAACTTCAAGGACGGCGGCGTCAAACGTCCCCGACCTGCTCCCGCCAAGCCCGGAGCAGACAAGAACAAGTATTGTCAGTACCATAGGAGCCATGGTCATCTGACTGAAGATTGCGTCCATCTCAAGGACGCCATTGAAACCCTCATCAAGGGAGGAAGGCTCGCACAATACCGGCGAAACGACGCTCCTCGTCGTGACACCCAGGAAACAAGGGAGCCAGAGGAAGACACCCGACCATCTGACGAGTCGGTCCCCATCCAGACCGCCTTCTCCGTGACCAGACCAGAGGACTTCAACGTTCCCGAACACCTGCAGGAGCCGCTCACAACACACAGCAGGTGGGAATATTTCCCCTCCGCCATGGTCATCAACGACAGAGGATTCAACGACTTGACCATTAATTCGGCTAAGAGGAAGCTGGATGAGCTGGTCGATGCGGCACCCCCGCAAACAGTGACATTTGAAAGGGTAAAGGGCAGGTCAGAACCCATCATCTTCTACCTAGAAGAGCTCCCCAGAGGAGCCCCCAACGCGGTCATCCCCTTGCTGATAAGGGCAAGAATGGCCAACTTTGATGTGCATCGCATCCTCGTCGACGAAGGAAGTTCCGTCGACGTAATGTACAGCCAATTGTTCCGGACTCTGCAGCTGGACGACTCACACCTCTCACCATATGTAGGGTCGGACTTACAAGGATTCAACGGCTCGACCTCCAAGCCTTGGGGATACGTCGAGCTCATGGTTACCTTCGGCGAAGGCACGACGACAAGGCAAGTCAAAGTACGCTTCCTCGTCATTGACTGCTCGTCCCTCTATAACTGTATCCCGGGGAGACCAACACTGGAAGAACTGACAGTAGTGCCCTCCACCGTCCACCTAAAGATGAAGTTCTACACCAAAAGGGCACGGGTAGCTACTATCCAGGGAGACCTCACCGCTGCTCGGAGGTGTTTCAACGCCGCATCTAAAGGGCGCGACTCTGTCGACGTCGGGACACGTCCCGCCAAAAGACCAACAACGACACGATAGGAGCCCGACAAGCCAGAGTCCTCCAAGGAGGAAGTCCAGAAAGCTCCACCAAAGGTCGACTCTATAGCCCTGGATGCTCGTTTCGATCAGGACGAACCTCCCAATGGCGAGCAAGTTCCACTCCAACCAATACCGGACGGGGATTTTGAGCTCGTCCCCTTCGGTGCAGACCCAAACAAAGGAGTAAAGATTGGCAAGGACCTCCCCGACCTGGCAAGGAAGCAAATCAAAGCCTGCTTGCGCGAGAATGCTGACCTGT